GTTTTCTGGTGGTTAATTGGAGGGAAGAGTCTCACGGGAACTTTTCTTCCTGGACTGGCTTTGAACTGTGATCCTCAAATCTCAGCCTCCTGAGAAGCTAGGATTACACACTTGAGCCAACAGCATCTAGATAAAAGTTTTCTTCTTGCTTACATTCCTGGGCGGGGGAGTCAGAACTAATAAACAAAAAATATTTCCTCCTTGAGGTAGTGGCATTTCCCAGACACTTACAGAAAGCATCTGTACAAATGTCCTAAGGCCATAAGTTTTGACTGCCCCCTTCCCTAATAGGATCTTACTGTAGACAAGTGGTTCTTAAGAATCTGAGGCTTGTTGAAACTGGTTGATAGGCTCCACTCCAGAGTGGCCCATTCAGTGGATCTGGGGTAGAACACTATAATTTGTATTTCTGACAAGTTGGTAGGGGATGTTCGTGGTGCTTGTTTGGCCATTGGCTACACTGAAACTGATCTGGGTCTTAACACTCTTGGTTTCTACTTGGTTCTTATCTCTTCTTGACTATCATCTCTTCACGTCCTTGACTGCCATTTGCTCCATTCCAACACTGACTTTCTTAAAAGTCTTTGTCCTAAGTTGACAAGAATTTGAGACTTGTGTAGTGGGAAGGGTGGTATCTCAGAAGTCAAGGGGAATAAAGAATATTCTTAGCCCTGGGCTAAAAACTGAGTCTTAGTTGACATGGGTACAGTATTTATTGAATGCCTAACAAGTTCCCAACACTAGTCTCATAATTTTCTCATTCATCTTTTCACGAACTCTTAGGAAGTAGAAGATACAGACAATTAAGACACAGACAGGATAATTAATATGTCACACTCCTATTAAGTGATAGTAGCAGAGGCAGAATTAGAATTCTAGAAATGTGGTTTTTCAGATAGTGGTGTTAATGAAAAGCTGTTTTGGTTTCCAAGCGGAATTGCCTTTTGATGACATGTGGCAAATTGATGTCAGAATTAGTGATGGAAGACTTTCATGAAGGGTTGTGGATCTATTACTTGCACCGCACCACAATACAATTTATTTTGAAAGGTAGCAATAGCTAGCTCAGGGACAGTGCTCAGGCCCTGATTTCAAGCTCCAGGACCAGCACTTAAAAAAGCTAGCAACTGGGATAGAGGTATAGTTCAGTGGTAGAGTGCACGGCGTGCATACACACAGCCGTGGGTTCTGCCCTCAGCAGTGAGTCAGTCTATCCAAGCAAATGCAGGCACAAAACCAGCAAACATTTTTTACTTACCCCTTTTCCTGATTTATTTTGCAAGAAAAAATTTCTTCAAAGACTTATTCTGTAAGTCTCCTCCTCGTCTTTCTTCACCCATTACATCACATATTTGCCCCCATAACTTAACTTCTCAGGAACTGCTGGGATCCAGGTCATCAGTAACCTCTGTTTTTCAAAATGGTCTGTCTGTGCCTTCTCCCCCCCCCCCCCCCCCCGTCCCCTCCCCCCATCCTCCTACCCATCCCCCATCCCTCCCCTGTTGTGGGGCTTGAACTCAGGGCCTGGGTGCTGTCCCTGATTCTTTTGTTCAGAGCTAGTGTCTGTCACTTTGAGCCACAGTTCCACTTCCTGTTTTTGAGTGGTTAATTGGAGATAAGAGTCCCAGGGGGACTTTTTCTGCCCTGGCTGGCTTCGAACCTTGATCTTCAGATCTCAGCCTAGTATTACAGTACAGGTGTGATCCACCAGCCCCTGGTGAATCTTCATCTTACTTGATTTCAAAGCAGTATTTGACTTAGTTGATCACTTCCTCTTGGATAAGTTTCTTTTTTTTTTTTTTTGTCGGTCGTGGGGCTTGAACTCTGGGCCTGGGCACTGTCCCTCAGCTCTTCAGCTCAAGGTGAGCGCTCTACCACTTGAGCTACAGCGCCACTTCCGGTTTTCTGGTGGTTTATTGGAGATAGGAGTCTCACGGTCTTTCCTGCCCGGGCTGGCTTTGAACCGCGATCCTCAGATCTCAGCCTCCTGAGTAGCTAGGATTACAGGCGTGAGCCACCAGCGCCCAGCTGGATAAGTTTCTTCACATGGCCTCTTGGACAACATACTAAGTTGTAGTCTATTGGGAAATATTGTACTAATACATAAAATAGGAAAGACCAGGACAGATTGATTTCTTGCTATTTGAAATATGTATTGTTGATTTACTTCCTTACTGAACATTAGAATTAAAGAATCCTTCCTAGTAAATGAAACATCTCTAATTCATGAGAGAAATTCTATCAAGGAATGCTTGTAAATAGTGTGCATCTGTAATCCCAGCACTCAGGAGATTGAGGTAGGGGGATCGTGAATTTGACCCTGGGCTTCACAGTGAAACCTAGTATCAAAAATTCATAGGAAGGGTGGCTGTGGCTCAAGTGGAAGAGCATTTGCCTAGTAAGTGGGAGATCCTGAGTTCAGTCGTCAGTACTGAGACTTACTCTACTTATTCTGTAAAAAAGAGTGCTAATGAATAATTGTAAAGGCAGTGATATAATTAGAAAAAGATAATACAATAGCACTTTAACTAGATTAGTAAAGCAGATTATCAAAATAATCACAAGGTGAAGGTTTAATAAAGTAGTTGACATGGTTCCAAAAAACATTATAAATACTACTTTCTGGTTGAGAGACAAAAGAATATGATGGTATGTCTGTTGAAATCAGCTGGGATAATATAATTTAGTGGTAGAGTGCTTCACTAGCATGGGGGAGGTCCTAGGTTCAGTCTTCAGCATTGCAAAAAAAAAAACTACCAAAAAGTTGGAATCATACTGTCTACATTTCAGTCTTGTAGTAAATCTTACATTAAGCAGAGTCTAGTCAGACCTTTCTAGGAAACTCATGGGGTAGCATTATCTCAGGAAAGGAGACAAATCCCTAAGGGGGAACTTCTAAGATTAGGTCTCTTCAACAAATGAGTATTGTAAAAAAGTACTGTCTTTCAGTGTGGACATAAAGAACACCAAAAAAGGACAAAATGTGGTCTTGGATTAATACTTAATTTAAATAAATCAGTTGTGAAGGAAATTGAGGAGAAAACGGGGAAGGGGTGGGGAATTGAATATGTACTAGGTTAGGCTTTACTGTCTTGTTAACAAAGTAGAAAAGTGTTATTTTTTGAAATGCAAAGAACATTACACAAGAGTAATATACCTTTTTTTTTTCATGGGGCTTAAACACAGGGCCTGGGCACTGTCCCTAAGTGTTTTCACTCAAAGGTAGTGCTCTGCCACTTTGTGTCACTGTACCACTTCGGTTTTCTGATAGTTAAATGGACTTTCCTGCCTTGGCTGGCTTTGAACTGCAGTCCTCAGCTCTTAGCCTCCTGTATAGCTAGGATGGTGTGAGCCACCATCGCCCAGGCAAGTACTCTACCACTGAGCTATATAGCTAGCCTCTGGAAAAGTTTTTTTTTTTTTTTTTGTCGGTCATGGGGCCTGAACTCTGGGCCTGGGCGCTGTCCCTCAGCTCAAGGCTAACACTCTGCCACTTGATCCACCTTCCCAGCCCCAGTAATTTTTTTTTTTTAATGAAAGGCAGTTCAAAATAAATTAATAGCTTAGCACAATTAAATTATGCTTGGCCCGTGGCTTCAATAATTAGCAACACTAGGGCTGGGAAGATGGCTCAGTGGTAGAGCGCTTGCCTTGCATGCCTGAGGCCCTGGGTTCAATTCCTCAGCACCACATAAGCAAAAAGAAAAAAGCCGGAAGTGGTGCTGTGGCTCAAGTGGTAGAGCGCGCTGGTCTTGAGCTGAAGAGCTGAGGGACAGCGCCCAGGCCCAGAGTTCAGGCCCAACAACCAGACCCCCCCAAAAATAATAATAATTAGCAACACTACAAAATTACTTTTTGAGTGGGGTGCTGGTGGCTCACACCTGTAATCACATCTGGGCAGGAAAGCCCGTGAGGTTTTATTTCCAGTTAACTAGCAAAAAGCCAGAAATAAGAGTTGAGGCTCTCCAGGCGCCGATGGCTCACGCCTGTAATCCTAGCTACTCAGGAAGCTGAGATCTGAGGATCGTGGTTCAAAGCCAGCCTGTGAGACTCTTACCTTCAATAAACCACTAGAAAACTGGAAGTGGTGCTATGGCTCAAGCGGTAGAGTGCTTGCCTTGAACTGAAGAGTGCACGGTTGACCAAAAAAAAGAGTTGAGGCTTAAGTTGCTAGCCTGAGCACAAAAGCTTAGGGACAGCATCGAGGTCCTGGTTCAAACCCTAGGAAAAAAAAATGAAGCAAATTGTTTTTTGAAATTGGAACTTTTATTTGACAGAAGACAAAATTGTACTCATGCTGTTACTTTTTGATGAATTTGAATTAGTAAAAACATACTTAATCCCTAACCTCTCAGTCAGTGCACCCCATATATGTTACCTGAAATTTAGAGTAGCTAACTTGGTAATGTGTGATATTCATAATTTACTGCTCAATTAGGTTTGTGAATTATTTATTAAGAATTTTTATATATTCAAGTCAATTGGTCTACTGTTGTTGTTGTTGTTTTTTAATTTTTTGCCAGTCCTAGGCCTTGAACTCAGGGCCTAGGCTTTGTCCCTGAGTCTTTATGTGCTCAAGGTTAGCACTCTACCACTTTGAGCCACAGTGCCACTTTGGTTTTCTGGTGGTTAATTAGAGATAAAAATCTCATGGACTTTTCTTTGCCCAGGCTGGCTTTGAACCCTGATCCTCAAATCTCAGCCTCTTGTATAGCTAAGATTACGGGCGTAGGCCAGTGGCACACTACTTGTCTGTTTTTATATGCGTTTAAAATTTACGTCTAACTTTTTGTCAACTTCTAATTTTATTTACTGGTAGTTGCTGGGACTAAGCCTTTGGTTTATTGAGACAGACTGTGGGACGCATCCCAGGTAGGCCTGGACATCAGTGATCTTCTGCTTCCTGTGCCATCACATCTGGCTCTTCTATACATTTTTTATTGTATGGTTTGGGCTGTGTAGTTTTGATTACTAACTTTTTTTTAAAAAACATCCTTTAGTTTAAGCTATGAAGAAGGACACCCCTCACAGTCTGAACCAGATATCCTTCAGAGACAGACATTTGCAGCCTCTCATCAGCTTCCTGGCTATGCCCCCACACCTCAACCAACCGGTAACAATTCTCTTGTGAAGTATACTATGAATCGAGGTTCATTTAGTGAATAAAAAGAGAAATAAAATTTCACATTTGGGGTTATAAATGTACTTTGTCAGATATTAATGTATGGGAAATATAAACCTGAAAATGAGATTAAAAGCTTTTTTGTTTTTTTGGTGGGTCTTGGGGCTTGAACTCTGGGCCGGAGCGCTGTTCTGGGCCTTGAGCTCTTCAGCTCAAGGCTAGCATTCTACCACTTGCGCTACAGCGCCACTTCGGTTTTCTGGTGGTTTATTGGAGGTAAGAGTTTCACGGTCTTTCCTGCCCGGGCTAGCTTTGAACCGCGATCCTCAGATCTCAACCTCCTGAGTAGCTAGGATTACAGGCGTCAGCCACCGGCGCCTGGCAGCTTTGGTTTTTACTAATGGATCATGTATCTATCTGTATGATTAATAAACTGAGACTTTTTTAGGTTGTGCATCATTGAAGATTTTAAATTATGAAGATGTTCAAATTAGTATTTGTTCTGTCAGATAAAGCATTTTAGTGTTACGGTATTTGCTGCCTTCACTTTTTAAAAATTCTTGTAAACATTAGATCAAAAATGAATTTTATATGTGTATATTTTTTACTTTGGAATTTATTTTCTCTCTTCCACTTTAGGTCTCTCGGGAATATTTGACACTAGTGTGAATAGTGACAGCACTAACACTAAAGAGTCTTCTGTGATGAATTTTCTTTCCTCTGTTGAGTCACGAGCTACACAAGCTGCTTCTTCAGGAACTACTCTTTTACCACAGTTCAGAACTCCATCCTGGCAGACAGGTGATTCATTTTTTTTCAGAATTTTTTAAATCATCTAAAAATACTGGTTAAAAATTATTTTTTATGGCTCTTTGAGGAAGGCTCTGAATGAAATTTAATTTTCTTTTATTTATTTATTTATTTTTGGGTCCGGTCGTGAGGCCTGAACTCTGGGCCTGGGTGCTGTCCCTCAGCTCTTCAGCTCAAGGCCAACGCTCTACCACTTAAGCCACAGTGCCACTTCCGGTTTTTTTCTTTATGTGGTGTTGAGGAATCGAACCCAGGGCCTCAGGCATGCAAGACAAGCGCTCTACCACTGAGCCACCTTCTCAGCCCTGAAATTTAATTTTCTAGTGTACTTTAAAACCTGGCATTTGGGGCTGGGAAGGTGGCTCAGTGGTAGAGTGCTTGCCTTTCTTGCAGGAGGTCCTGGGTTCGATTCCTCAGCACCACCTAAGCAGAAGAAAGCCGGAAGTGGCACTGTGGCTCAAGTAGTAGGGTGCTAGCCTTGAGCTGAAGAGCTGAGGGACAGTGCCCAGGCCCAGAGTTCAGCTTCCACGACTGACCAAAAAACAAACAAAGAAAACAGGCTTTTTTTGGGGGGGTGGGGGGGTCCTGTCGTGGGGCCTGAACTCTGGGCCTGGGCGCTGTCCCTCAGCTCTTCAGCTCAAGGCTAGTGCTCTACCACTTGAGCCACAGTGCCACTTCCGGCTGTTTTTTCTTTTTGCTTATGTGGTGCTGAGGAATCGAGCCCAGGGCCTCAGGCATGCAAGGCAAGCGCTCTACCACTGAACCACCTTCCCAGCCCCTAACTTTTTTGAGACAGTCTTTTGCTATGAAGCATAGGCTAGTCTCAAACTTGGGATTTTTTTCTTCCTCAGCTACTCAAGTGATGGGATTTCAGACATGTTCTACCACATCTGACCTAGAAATTGTGTTTTAACATTCCAATGAAAATTTAACAAGTTCACATAAAAGTATTGGTAATTGGGCTGGGAAGGTGGCTCAGTGGTAGAGCGTTTGCCTTGCATGCCTGAGGCCTTGGGTTCGATTCCTCAGCACCACATAAGCAAAAAGAAAAAAGCCGGGAGTGGTGCTGTGGCTCAAGTGGTAGAGTGCTAGCCTTGAGCTGAAGAGCTGAGGGACAACATCCAGGCCCAGAGTTCAGGTCCCATGACCGGACCCAAAAAAAAAAAAAAAGTATTGGTAATTGTTTAAGTCAGATCCTGAAGTAAAGTTTGTATTTGCCCAGTAGCTACTTGTCTATTTGAGAGGAATGGCAGATTAATTTATTTGTGTGTCCCTGGGCTTAAACTCAGGACCTGGGAGCTGTCCCTGAGTTTTTTGTTTAATTAAGTTCAGTGCTCCTAACTCTTGAGCCACACTGTCACTTCTTGTTCTGGCTTTTTCTGAGTGATTTATTGGAGGTAAGAGTCTCACAGCCTGGGGCTCGGAAGGTGGCTCAGTGGCAGAGCGCTTGCCTTGCATGCCTGAGGCCCTGGGTTCGATTCCTCAGCACCACCTAAGCAGAAAAAAGCCGGAAGTGGCGCTTTGGCTCAAGCAGTAGGGTGCTAGCCTTGAGCTGAAGAGCTGAGGGACAGTGCCCAGGCCCAGAGTTCAGGCCCCACGACCGGACACCCCCCCCCCCCCCCAATCCCCCCCCCCCAAAAAAAAGTCTCACAGCCTGAGCTAGTTTCAAACTGATTCTCAGATCTCAGCTTCCTGAATAACTAGGATTATAGACATGAACTATAAGCACCTGGCTTAATTCAATATGTTATAATAACTTCAGGCTGTGCAGGTGATGTTTGTTTTATAGTGAATAAAATTTACTTTATCATTAGTGTTTAACTTGAGCAGATTAAATCACTTTAATAAAAGATATAACATGCTCATATTATACCTATTTTCAACAATAATTATGAGATCTATGTGTACTTCTCTGTAAATGTTTTAAATTTTACTTTTCAATAGGTTCTACTTAAAATTATAGGCAAAGTTATTTTTTCTGAGACAATGACAAGATGTCTTGGGCTTGTTTTGTTTCAAAGAACAAATGTCACATACCATATTTGCAAAGATTTTCAAAAGTAATAGCGGAAGGAAACATTACTTTACCTAATGGAATTTCTCAGCATGCCTAGCAGCTTTTTTTTCCTGTTTGGAAAGGGAAGCACAATGATTTATGTAAATTATTTATTTATTTATTTTTTTTTTTGGGGGGGGGGTCCAGTCGTGGGGCCTGAACTCTGGGCTTAGGCACTGTCCCTCAGCTCTTCAGCTCAAGGCTAGCGCTCTACCACTTGAGCCACAGCACCACTTCCGGCTTTTTTCTTTTTGCTCATGTGGTGCTGAGGAATCAAACCCAGGGCCTCGTGGATGCAAGGCAAGCACTCTACCACTGAGCCACCTTCCCAGCCCCATGGTAGTTTATTGGAGATAAGAGTTTCACAGACTTTCCTGCCTGGGCTGGCCTTAAACCATGATCCTCAGATCTCAGCCTCCGAGCACTAGTGGCTCACACCTATAGTCCTAGCTATTAATAGGTTTTATTTTTAATGTTCACACATACAAACAAGTATTTGTTTCCCCTCTCATTTACCTTTTTCCTCAACTCTCTGTCCTGGTGCTCGACCCCCATCCCCAGCCTTGTTTACTTATCTCTTTTTTTCAATGGGTATCACTTGCACTGAGGGTTTACAGAATGGTTGCTTGGATGCTCATATAACTTACATTTTGCTTTAAGAAAACTGGTGGTTTATTTCTGTAATCCTAACTGTTCAGCCTAATAGATATTTTGATTAGTTGGGGATTATATAATTCATTACTTTGTATACATTTAAGTATTTGTGCTATGATTGCATAAAGACCTTTATACCTTCTCTTTATAGGCATGCATTCCTCAGCAGCAACTGAGTTGTTTGTTACTGGACCTTTGCCAACCACTGGAACACTTCCACCTTCTGCCCTCTCAGCTTATCAGCATCCCACCACCTTTAACAACAGAAACTTTGCTACCACCTCACCTTTGGTGCTTCAGGATTCAAGTTTTAACACTGCAGCAAATGGAATTTTAAATCCTCATGACCCTTTGCTACAAATTAAAACTTCCCAGGGAACTGTTCCAACTGCTTTGGCATTTGAACGCCTGGGCAGTTCTGCATTAAGTAACAGCTTACCACCTCAGTCTTCAACATATCGCTCAGCTCAAGAATCTGCACCCCATCTTTTACAACCTCAATTTAGTTTGTTGCCTTCAGCTCTTGGGGGAGCCCAGCAAACTCCTCAAGCCTACAGTTCTACTATCTTTTCTAGTTCTACTGCTTCCATTGAAAGAGCTCTCCGAGAATGTAGTGTTATTAAACACCATCAGCGGCCTTCAGGTACCCAGTCTATTCAGGCACAACTGACTGGTTCACAGCATTCCTTACATAGTTACCTGTCAAATGCAAACGTAGTTAATTTTCAGGAAACATCTAGGCAGTCATCGTTACCTTGTAGTCCAATTGGAGAGTCTACTCAGGTGAGCAATGGAGTATTGCAACAGAAGACCCCCCAGGTGTCGGATCTTGCTCAGTCTTACTCTTCGGCAGTTCCATCATCAGGGTATCCTTCTACTACAAAAGTAGATAGCTGCTCTACAAAACTACCACTGACATCAACTAAGACTCCAAAACCTCAAAGCTTAATTCCTCCTGTGCAAACACTAAGCTATTCCAAACCTTTACATAACCAGAGTTCTGTAGTATCAGGTCAAGCACAAATTTATTCTACAGCACAGCTACCAAGCCTTTTATCAGTTAGTCAGTCCCAAAATTATGGGTTAGTACAGCCACATAATGTGCCATCTATTGTGCACTCACAGGTTTATAGGTCCAACAGGGTTGAGAAATTGCCATCCTTATATAAAACATTGGCTTATTCTTTGTCATCTCAGCCTATAACTTCTGAAAACCAGACACTTAGTTATTCATCTAGTCAGCAAGAAGTATTATCTTCAATTACAAATGAGAATTACCCAGCTCAAACAAGAGATCTATGCTCAGTCAGTCAATCTCAAAGTTACTCATCTGGTCATTCTCAGGGTTTATCACCAGTTAGTCCAACACGGGTCAGTTATTCATCTCAATCGCAAATTCTGTCAGTCAGTCCATCAGAAAACTACGCATCAGGGCAGTCCCTGACTTTAACAGCCCCCTCCCTTTCTTATTCTTCTGCTTCTCGGGCTCAGAACTTGTCAGATTCTAATGCAACCCCAAATTACATTTCTATGCATTCTTCCCAAAATGCTCAGACTCAAGAATCATCATCACCCCAAGCCCAAAAGTTTTTGCCTGCTGTACAGTCATCATCTTTTGCATCCTCTCCTCATTGTCAGACCTTACAGAGTAATATACCTTCCCCTGATCCGAAGTCCTATGCTGAAAGAAAACTTGACTCAACTGTGTATACGTCTTCAAAGCAAGAAGATGATTTTCCAATGCAAGAGTTACAAACGTTACAGCCACAGGCATCTCTTGAGTCATCAAACCAAAGGCTGTCTGATGGAGAAGTGAATGCTCAAGAACCCATTTATAAGGCATCCAAGGCAGATGACAGCTATTCTCAAAGTGTAATCAGAAGTAATTCCCATCTTGAAGATCAAGTTGTTGGGATTACTCTACAGGGATCAAAAAAGGAAGAAAACATAGTTGGTTCAGTGACTCAACTTAACCAGCAAATTGGCCAACCCAATAATGCAGCAACCCCTGATCTCAAAAAGGCATCTAGTTTGATGCAAACACCACAAATGAGGTTGAATAATAAAGAACTGAGCCAGCAGCATTCTCTTACACATAAATTACATGAGGCCAAGGTGCAAGAACAGCATGATCAAATAATTAATGCCTCATCTCAGATTCAAATTCCAAATCATGCTTTAGGGCATACTCATCAGGCATCTCTTCCTAATGCACAGGTCCTTTTAGATTCTGCCTGTGATTTACAGGTTCTTCAGCATTCAATATTACAGGCAGGCTTAGGACAAGTAAAGTCATCTTTACAGCGTGTTCAGAGTCCTCAACAAATAGTACATCCTTTCCTTCAAATGGATGGCCATATTATTCAGAGCAATGGTGATCATTCTCAGCAGCCACTCCACCCTCAAAATTCAGAGATTATGAAATTAGACCTCTCTGAGTCTTCAAAACCACTACAACAGCATCTAACAACCAAGGGCCATTTCAGTGAAACAAATCAGCATGATTCTAAGAGTCAGTTTGTTTCTCTTGGATCAATATGTTTCCCAGAGGCAATGCTTCTCAGTGATGAAAGAAATATTTTATCAAATGTAGATGATATCTTAGCAGCTACAGCAGCAGCTTGTGGGGTTACACCTGATTTTTCCAAGTCAACTTCAAATGATACCATGCAGACTGTTGAAGGTGGTGATCCTAAATCTCATTTTCAGCAGTCATTAGATGTCAGGCATGTGACTTCAGATTTTAACTCAATAACAGCTACAGTAGGGAAGCCACAAAATATAAATGACATTGCCTTAAATGGAAATCAGGTTACTGTAAACCTTTCACCAGTACCTACCCTTCAGTCAAAAATAACTCTTGATCAACAGCACATTGAAACACCTGGTCAAAATATGCCAACTAAAGTAACTTGTGCAGTGGTTGGACCAAGTCATGAAGTCCAACAGCAAAGTTCTGGGTCCTTCAAGAAACAGTCTGCTACCAATCATGAGTCTGAAGAAGACAATGAAGTTCCTGTTGATAGTACATTAAATAATAACAGAAACCAAGAGTTTGTTTCTAGCAGTAGGAGTATTAGTGGAGAGAGTGCTACATCAGAGAATGAGTTTACCTTAGGGAGTGATGACAGTATGTCAGTGAACCCTACTAGGAGTGCACTTGCACTGTTAGCTATGGCTCAGCCTGTTGACACAACCACTGCCAAGGTTGAAGAGGAAAACCAAGATTTAATACAGTTTAGCCTTCCAAAGAAAAAAGGTAAAGGAAAAGGGCAAATGAAAGAGGAAGACAATAGTAATCAAAAACAGCTAAAAAGATCTGCCCAAGGTAAACGCCAGAATCCCAGGGGAACAGATCCATATTTACCATATACATCACCTTCCTCAGAGAGCTGCCATGAAGGATATCAGCATCAGGAAAAAATGAGACAGAAGATCAAAGAAGTAGAGGAAAAACAGCCAGAAGTAAAAACAGGATTTATTGCCTCTTTCTTAGATTTTCTGAAATCTGGGCCCAAGCAGCAGTTTTCCACTCTTGCTGTCCGCATGCCTAACAGGACCAGACGACCAGGGACCCAGATTGTTCGTAGTTTTTGTCCCCCACCACTTCCAAAGACCTCATCCACATCACCAATGCCTTCAGTTTCAGAAACTGGGAGTGTCAGTCCAACAGAAAAGGCTGATAATGAACTGAAAAACTTGGAAAACTTACCTTCATTTTCTTCTGATGAGGAAGATCCTGGAGTGTGCACTCATGATATCTATAAAAGCATTTCTGCTCCCTTAACTGCATTGGATGCTACTGCTGATAAAACAAAGAAGACAGGTAAAGTTTTAAGCAGATTCACATTTTACTTTCCACTGCTTTCCACTACTGTTCTAGCTATTGCCTATATTATATACTTTTTAAATATAAAGTAGGTGTGCAAATAAATTTTTAGAATAAAATGCATAAGCAGGTTTCTTAGAGACTTAAACCTTTACCTATAGGAAAGTTTCGGGTTTTAGATCGAATCCTTCCAGTTTTCTTGGCTTTTTGCCACAGGCATTTTAACATACATGGTTTGATATATTTAATTTGAGACATTTTTTTGGAGGTGAGACTTTGCTTGGAGGCCTTGTTGTATAAACCTGGAATGTTTTGACATGATCATTTCACTTGAAGATTAGTATTCTACTATTAAGTATAGTTAGGTGAAATGTACATTCATCTAATTATGATAAAAATTTTACTGACACACTTTGGGTATATATTTTACTTTATGTTTAATAGAGGAAATGTTCTAAGTATTGCCTTCTGTAAACCATTGTAGGTAAATAGGTTACTTTTTTTAAAAATATATATATATTTTTTTTAATTGGGTCCAGTTGTGGGGCCTGAACTCTGGGCCTGGGCGCTGTCCCTCAGCTCTTCAGCTCAAGGCTAGTGCTCTACCACTTAAGCCACAGTGCCACTTCCAGCTTTTTTCTTTTTGGTTATGTGGTGCTGAGAAATCAAACCCAGGGCCTCGTGGATGCAAGGCAAGTGCTCTACCACTGAGCCACCTTCCCAGCCCCTAGGTTACTATTTTAAGGAACATACTAAGGAAAAGATTTTAAATAGTAGTGTTATGAGATCTATATTAATGTCTCCAATGTTGGTTATATAACTGACAACAAGGGAACTGACTAGATTCACTTGTAAGCAGTGGAGCTGAACCAAGATAGATCTGTTTCTAGAGCATGTTGTTATAGCTCTGTAGTATAATTTGAAGTCTAGTATTTTGATACTCTTTTTACATGGAATTCTTTTTCTTTTTCTTTTTTTTTTTACATAGAATTACGTATGCCTGCATACATGAATTTGTGGATTGATTTTTCTAATTCTGAGTAATTATATTGGTATTTTGATGGTTATTACATTGACTCTGTAGATTTCCTTTGGCACAAAGGTAATTTTCATGGTATTAATTCTGCCAGTACATAATCATCAGAGGTCTTTCCGTCTTCAGTTTTTTTTCTTAAAGTTTTTATAATTTTCTTAAAGATTTTATAAGAGAAATGTTTTTTGTTTGTTTGTTTTGTTTTGTTTGCAGTCTTGGAGCTTGAACTCTGGGCCTAGCCATTGCCCCTGAGCTTTTTTAGCTCAAGGCTAGGATTTGAGCCATAGCACCACCACTTCCAGCTTTTTCTGTGTATGTGGTACTGAGGAATCGAACTCAGGGCTTCATACATGCTAGGCAAGCACTCTACCACTAAGCCACGTTCCCAGCCCAAGAGAAATGTTTTTTGCTTCCTATGGTTAATATCTAGGTATTTTGTGGGGGAGAGGGGATATTATGAATAGGATTGTTTTCTCTCTTAGCCCGTTCCTTGTTGGTATATAGAAAAGGTATGCATTTTCAAATGGAGGGTATTATTCCAATTTTATAAGTTCTAGAAGTTTTTTAGTGCATTCTGTTGAGTATAAGATGTTAATTTTTTTCATATAGAAATCCAACTTTTCCTGCATGTATTTTGAAAAAAATGCCTTCATTAATGACTTTTTACCTCTTTGTCAAAAATTAGTCATTATATTTGTGTGGATGTATTTCTGGATTTCAGTTCTCTTTCATTGACAACATGTGTTGATGCTTTTGTCGATATCACAGTCTTAAATGGTCTGGCTTTAGAGTAAATCTTCTTTTTTTTTTTTTTTTTTTTTGCCGGTTCTGGGGCTTGAACTCAGGGCCTGAGCCTCTCTGTACTCAAGGCAAGTGCTCTACCACTTGAGCCACAGTGCCACTTCCGACTTTTTCTGTTTATGTGGTACTGAAAAATTGAACCCAGGGCTTCATGTATGCTAGGTAAACACTGTACCATTAAGCCACATTCCTAGCCCCTAGAGTAAATCTTAAATAAAGGTAATGTGAGTCCTCTAAATCTGTTCTTTTTCAAAATTGTTTTACCTTCTGTAGCTCTTTTTCCCATATGTTTTTCAACTTATGTGTCATTAGCTACCTTAAATAAAAGCCTTCTGGGAGTCCAGTTGGATAGAAAAAACAATTTCCAAGGTTCTTTACCATAGAAGAGTAACGGGTGACAACAATTAGTTGTAAGTTCCTAAGTACTGGCTGGAAAGGATTGTGAATATTCTCAGTACAAAGAAGTAGTAAACATGGTGATGGATAAATCATTTACCTTAATTTGATCATTACACATTGAAATGTGTATTGAAACATCACAGTATACCCCATAGATGTGTACATTAGTACATGTTGATTTTAAAAAGTAAAATAATAAAAGTACATTGGAAAAGATAAAAACAAAACTATACAAATAAGTACTATAAGTACCTAATTTATCAATAGCTCACAGCAGAGAGGAATTATTTAAAAAGTGTTTAATACCGATCAGTTGGAAGAATAAGATCACAAGTAAGATCGAAACATCAGTGTCTTGATTTATAAAATAAATAGAACTTGGAACTTCATAATGGATGTGGAGGGGAAAAAACCTACTAGGAGTATAATTTTATTGAATCCTATAGCAGTTTGAGCACTTATCTGTTAATATATTGAGACTTAACATTGTATCTTTTCCATTTGATTTTTTTTTTTTTTTTTTTTGCCAGTCCCGGGGCTTGAACTCAGGGCCTGGGCACTATCTTGAGCTTCTTTTGCTCAGTGCTAGCACTCTACCACTTGAGCCACAGTGCACCTCTGGCTTTTTTTCTCTTTATGTGGTGCTGAAGAATTCAACCCAGGGCTTCATGCATGCTAGGCAAGTCCTCTACCATTAAGCCATCCACCCATAGCCGGGTGCTGGTGGCTCACGCCTGTAATCCTAGCTACTCAGGAGGCTGAGATCTGAGGATCGCGGTTCAAAGCCAGCCCGGGCAGGAGAGACTGTGAGACTCCTATCTCCAATAAACTACCAGAAAACCAGAAGTGGCGCTGTAGCTCAAGTGGTAGAGCGCTCGCCTTGAGCTGAAGAGCTGAGGGACAGCGCCCAGGCCCAGAGTTCAAGCCCCACGACCGACCCCAAAAAAAAAAAAAAAGCCATCCACCCAGCCCCTCCATTTGGTTTTTAAAATTTGTCTTTTGTGTATTTTGGTATACACATTCTGCCATGTGTTTTGCTAGATTTATGCCTGAATATTTGGGGTACTGCATATAAGTATGCGTATATTATAAATCCTAAGTTTTTGCTCTTTGGTTGTTTTTTTTTTTCTTGCAAATATGGGGCCTTGAATTTAGATGCCTTAGGCTTGCCAGTAGTCATGCTTGCTCATTACAGGTAATCTACCACTTGAGCCATGCCTTCAGCTTGGCTTTTTGCTAGTTATTTTGAAAACAAGAGTTGGACTTTCTGCCTGGGTTATCTTTGAACTGTGATTTAGGATTTTTGTTTCTCTTTTTAGAGTTCACACTATATTCTGTGTGGACAATGATGTCCTCTGCAGTGAGGAAGGTTTTCATCTCTTTCGATGAAGACTTTTTTCATTATGTTCCTGTGTGTGTGTGTGTGTGTGTGTGTGTGTGTGTGTGTGTGTGTGTGTGTGTGTGTGTGTGTGTGTGTGTGTGTATGCACGCATGTGCAAACACATGTATATAAGGATAAGATTAGGCCTTTCTATGTAACCCAGGCTAGCCTCAAACTTGAGATCATTTGCCTTAGTCTCCTGGGCACTGAAATTACATACACACCATCATCTGTGGCTTTTTTTTTTTACAAATTATTTGAATAATTTTTAGAATTATTCTCTATTTTGAGGCTCTCCCTCTCCCTCTCTCTTCCCCCTCCCTTCTCTGTCTCTGTCTTTCTCACTCTCTCTCTCTTTGTCAGTCATGGGGCTTGATCTCTGGGCTTGGGCGCTGTCCCTCAGTTCCTCAGCTAAAGGCAAGCGCTCTACCACTTGAGCCACTGAGCCACTTCCTGTTTTCTGAGTGGTTTATTGGAGATAAGAGTCTCATGGACTTTCGTGCCCGGGCTGGCTTTAAACCATGATCCTCAGATCTCAGCCTCCAGAGTAGCTAGGATTACAAGCGTGAGCCACTGGCACCTGGCTCTCTCTCTCTTTTAATTGTATCAGACGTGGGGCTGGAACTCAGTCCTGTGCATTGTCTCTGAGCTTTTGTGCTCAGGGCTAGCACTCTACTACTTGAGATACAGCTCCACTTCTGGCTCTTTTGGTGCTTAATTTGGAGATAATGAGTCTCATGGACTTTCCTATCCTAGTTGGCTTCGAACTATGATCCTCAGATATCAGCCTTCTGAGTAGCTAGGATTACAGGTGTGAGCCACCAGCACCCAGCTTCTCTTTGTTTGGTGAATGGGTGTATTGGTGAATAGTTATTAGAAAATATAGACTCAGATTTTTATAATTTACTGAGTTAACATTTTTACCATTTTAAGTAGAACATAGAAGTCTGGCAGCTATATAGTTGTCTTCACATTTCTCCTTGCATTTTGTGTGTGTGTGTGTGTGTGTGTGTGTGTGTGTGTGTGTGTGTGTGTGTATGACAGAAAACTCTTGTTAGTCATTTTTGTTGTCAGTAGTTAAATACATATTTTGCTATTTTCATTTGTTGTGTTAATTCTCAATTACATGACAAATACCTGTGAGAAAAAATTAGGAAAGGTTTTGGCTCATGGTTTCAGAGGTTTCAGTCTATGGTCAGTTCCTTTGCTTCTGAACTTAATGATGAGGCTGACCATCAGGGTGGGGAACATGGAAGAATAAAGCACTCACTTCATGGCAGACACAAGGGTGGAGTTTGAGAAAGAGAGAGAGAAAGAGAGAGAGAGAGAGACAGAGAAACAGGAAGGGACCAGGTACAAGACAGACAGATCTTTACAAATCAT